GTGGTACATCTATCACAATCTTCGCAGCTTAGTTTCGGATATATCTAAAGTAGATATTGTGGCTCCATTGCCGAAAGATTTGCCATCGAAGAAACGGAAGGCAAAAACTAGTGAAGATGTTCTCAAACCAGACGAGGAACCAGGTCCATCTTCCTCAGGATCAACACGTGAAAAGATCTCAAGGAAAACGACAACAAAGAAAATTACATAAACTACTCAGCATTATTATTTTTGGCCCATAATACGTTTTTCTAGTGTATAATCATGTCTTTATAGCTTATAATTCAATGTATTTTGTTCATTACCAATAAATTATATTTTGTCGTATTTTTACTCTTCTTTCTCTACATTTTTAGTACACTTCTAAGCAAGTTAGGATTTTCTGCTTTTCACCATGTGAAAAAGCATCTCATCTTCCATCCGAATCAACCAAAATGTGAAAATTGATTTTTTGACACCTAAGCCCCCTTTCCGTAGACCAGGTCACATATAATGATGAAGAGGCAGTGTTGGCGGACGTTAATAATGTGATCTGTTTTATGGAAAAAAATCAATTTTGAAAATATTGTCTGTGAGGCTGAAGATGAAGAATGCTGATAAACTAACAAACAAAAAAAGTATTTGTCAAAATTTAGTACACAAAATTCCCCATAGGACTCAGAGAAAACATTTTTTTTCTGTAAAAAAACATACGTACCGCCTTAACCGCAAACAGGAAGTAAGGGACATTCTTTTTTAATTTTCTTTTTGATGCAGAAATATTCCTAAAAAAAAAAAATTTTTATAAAAATTTCGCTTAGCTCTTTTCGGCGATTAGGGCTCAGTATGTATGCGTAATATGTATGCGTAATATGTATGTTTATTTTCCAGTACAATTTTTTTCGCGGAGTTTCCTGCATGCATTTTTTTTACCAAATTTTGACGAAAGCGTTATATTTGTGGGTTTTTCATCATCCTCATCCTCTCCCCATAGGTACATATATTTAATTTTAGAATAAAATCGTATGCCTAATGTACTATTCAAATGTACCTATCTATGTACATATTTACTTAAAGTAGATTAATGCGTCCTCTTGTTGCAAACACAAAAAACAATTAACTACTACATAAATTCTTGGTTAAACTAGATGCCTCTTCTACTACCACTCCCGCACCGCCTGCCTCTTCGACTACGGTGCCTTCACCAGAGTATCTAGCCTGCTTGCGCGCCTGCCCTACCACCATGGAATACAATCCTGTTTGTGGCAGCGACAGTCAGAATTACCACAATAATGCGCGTCTGGATTGTGCTGTGCGCTGCGGTCAAGGTTAGTATGGAGTGTTTAGATTTTTATTATGTGCACATATACACACATACGTACATACATATTTACGTACGAGTTCATACACACCGCTACAAAATAGCTCTGATCCAATACTTTTCGTGTAAAATCCTGTAAAAATGTCAAACAGCAAAATTACTCTCTGAAGTGAGAGTAAAAAGTGAGTAACAAAAAAAGTACGGGAACAAAAAAAAACATTGTTCCTGTAAAAACGTGAACTAGTGATCGCTTGACACTTTTCATGATTTTACTAGAAGAAGAAAATCTTCTAACTTCATTCTCTACACAACTCTCCAAAAATCGCTCTAATTTACAGGATTTTGGAGGATTGGAGTACGGGATCACTTTTCCTGTAACTTCCTGCAAGTTCGTGTAAAAACCTGTAAGTTCGTGGAGTACTGGATCAGAGCTTATGAATGGTTTAGGGGAATTTTTATTTATTTTTTAAAATTAATTTTAATTATTTTTTTACAAAGGCATAGCTCATTGTCTAACAAAAGCTGTTTAAATCCAAATACATGTACTTTGTACAAAAATTAGAAAAATTTATAGAAAAAAAAGGTTTTTAAACTATGTTTTATGAATCTGGGAGAAGAAATGCAGTAGCCCATTGAATTTGAAAATAAAGTGTAAGTGGATTTTTTCCTGTTGACGATGTTGCGCATTTTTTCCAATATATTCGTGTGTATGTATGTACATAAAATAAAATGCGAACCTTCGTTATATAGAAGAAAATGCTCAAAACCGCCAACAAAAAAAAAAAAAAAAAAAATCTATGGCATTTTGTAGGCCCTTTTAACTTGCACTTTGCTTTCAAAGTTGAATGGGCTATAAAAATACCTAATCAAAATAAAAAAAAAATAGTTTTTGCAAATTTATTGAATTTTCCTAATTTTTGTACAAAGTTTGAAATTTGGATTTATTGGAATTTTGCTACTTTGTTTCTAACTATGTATTTCTATTGAAGCATACGCAAATTTGCTTAGTTCAAAGTAGTCACAGAAAATCTGAAAAGTTCCAAATAATTTTAGCTTAAAATATGCGAAATTTCGCTTTAAAATTTTTGCCAAACAAAAGCTGGAATACAAAAAATTTAAAAGGTCTTTTGCTCTCTCTCCTGTAAAATTTGAAACTGTTCACTCTAAGCTAGCGGTTTATTAGAAAAAAAGTTAGTGGTTTACACTAGGCATTAAATGAGACAAATTTTAATTTAATTAAGAAAAATTGTAATTAAATTTCATTACCATTATTCGTCATTTCAATGCCTACTGGAAATTCGGCATTATATTATTTGTACCAATTCTTTTTTACATTGCTTCCTTTTTGTTTCATTTTCAGATGTTGTTTTTGTACGATTGGGCACCTGTAATGCATTATAAACAAGATTACAAACCCGGTATTTAGTCAATAATAAAAAATTTATTTGCTTATTTTTAAGTTATAAAATTTCAAAAAAAAAATTCAATTAACATTTGCGTTTGTGTTTACTTCTGTTGAACTTCGCCTTTCGTTCAAATGCACCGGTTTTTTTTTATTATTTTTATTGATTTACTCAAAAATGTTTACCAAGAAATTCACACATATCGATTCAAATTACAAATACAAACAGTTATTAAAAAGTCCATTTTCCGGGGTTATCAGATGCTACTTGCTGCAAAAAAGTAAGCTTGCATTTTTAATTTATTGCTTCCCGTAAAATCAAGCGCCATTGAACTTTAAAAGAGCGTGTAATAATCAAAATGTGCGTTGAAATACATACGTACATACTAAGCTATGTAATAAGAAATATATTTGGCGCTCATATTTTTGCTAAGTGTTTGGCCGAGCTTCTCCCTCCATTTGCAGTATGCGTCTTGATGACTTTATAACTCGAATGGATTTTATGTGATAAGCTTTTTAGAAAAAACTTTTCGGATCAGGGATCGAAGATTGGTCCCATCGTGTGGAAGTTTGCACATCTAAGAACTCGGCCACTGGGGTCGTGTTACCAATGCTGATTTTCAAAGAAACGAAGTGCCAAAGTTGCACGAAACACTTTTGGAACGTTCTGGTACGGGAAGACCAAAAGTTTGTGCTTATAGCTAAGGTCGAATGAAACGGAAGCTCTCCAGCGCAAACACTGAACGTCTCGTGATTCCAGTGGTAAACATACAGCCGAGCGAATAGCGTCGGTTGAGACTGCTGTGAACGGAAACAGGGCCAGATTTACGGCCTTCGATAGCCTTCAAGTGCATTACCAGAATAAAAATCTCTCAAGCAGCAAACCATCGTCAGACGTCAGGAGAATAAGGAGGAACTCGTGTATCTGTAAGTAGATATTATTCGGGCGAAGTGAATAATTTCGTATTTCGATATCGAATCATATGGCAGGTGGCCGAGAGCTAAAGAGCAGTGAAGGTAACTTTAATAACCGCCTAAGAAAGGTTCAAATCGCTTGGGGCCTGGACTCGATACTTTATTGTGATAACCAAAGATCACACAGGCCGCACGGATGAAAGCCGGATTTGTGTATACGAAGAAAACTGGTTACATATGTAGATAGTACGTAAGTGGCATGACGATGGTAGAACCGGGAAGATAAATAAATTTGAGATCGGTGAAATAATATTAGTCTATCCAAAAGCTTGTATGAAAGTCCTTAAAGCTTGAGATGTTTCATAACGACCCAGGAAGAGAGATGGGGGCCATCTTGGAAAATTAAAAACGTGCAGTACATATCCACGAAAACAACGTACATGTCTAAGCGAAAGAAACAAAAAAAAAAATTATATCAGAAATACATCTAGATGCTCTTAGAGCATTTCTGCATCAAAAATAAAATTTTGATTAAAAAAAATATGTGCTATTTTACCAAAAAAATAAACAATTATGGAAAGTTTTTCCTAAATTTTTTTCGGATTTGACATTGAAGTCCGAAAGCCATGATTTTCATATTTCATACTTAGTAGTCAAAAATATGAATATATATATACGGGTATTCTGAAAGCCAGGTGCCAATTAAGGCTCTTGCGGTCTTTGATGATACGCTTATTGTCAAGACAGGGAACTCTGCAGGAGTTGTCGTCACATTTGGTCTGCTACTGGAAAGATGGGCATCTGGTCAGCTGAGGGAACACTAAGCGAAACTCTTGGAATACAAGATGGCTAAGTTCCTCGGACCACAGGGAGATCGGAGGCGGTCTAAGTAGCTCCTAAAGCTAAGCAAGGCGCATTTATCGCTACTGATAGGGTTTCGAATCTTCTGTTTCTTGATATTAGTCTCTTGAGGAACTTTATTGTGGGTAGAAAAGTGATGCTACCACCAACATATAAATATGTACGTATGAAGGTAAGCATCATAGATCGATAATACTCCCTTCTTTCCCATTCCTATTTGACTCTAAACCATTTAATTGTTTCATAAACAAGTAATTTTTAAGCAAAAAACAAAACCGACTTCGATTCTTATATAAAAGTTTAAGAGTAGCGTTAATATTGGACCACCCTTGACCTACCACCTTTGCGATGAAAAAAGAATTATAAGAAATCGGTTAACGTGGTCCAAAGTTATGCGCTAACATACATACATTAAAAAAATATTCCGACGAATTGATAACCTTCCCCTTTTGTTTAAAGTCGGTTAAAAAAACAGATTTAAATACTAAGTAGTCCAAGTGCGCCTCTATTTATCATAGTTAGTTAACTTAACGTAAACTATAAGGATCACCCTAATATACATACAATCGTACCTAGTGACCCTATATTGTTGCGCATCTTAAACTCAACTTAAATGACTCATCCATATCTGAGAACCTTTTAATTGTTTTGAGCGACAAAGTAAACATCTCGCTGAGCGTAACTCAAAACTGTTTTCATTTTACAAATTATGCAAATAAAATTCGATAAAAATAGAATAGTAGAACATCATGCAAAAGATCAGTAAATGCCTTAATATACATATGCACATTAGGGTGTATCACTCGCCATACAAAAAGTACTGTTTTTCCATCGGAAATATACAAATTTATAGGATTTTAACACTTCCGCAAAAATAATCCGGAAAATATTAAGATTTACGTGGGCTGGACCGATTTGAAAATATTTTAGAGATAGGGAGCCTTTTATAAATTAAGAAAAGTGTTTAAAAATATTTTACTAAAAATTACCTCAGATTATAGAAGAGTTTAAGCATAAACGATATACATAAAAAAATTTAAAAATTTTATCAACGGAATCAAAAAGATTAGAGTTTGGAAGGTTGGAAAGTATTTTCAAATCGGTACAACTGACATACATCTTAATATTTTTCCGAAATATTTTGGCGGAAGTCTTAAAATATAATAAATTTTATAATTCCGATAGAAAAACCGCAACTTTTTTTTTTGGTGATGCACCTTAATGTACTTACATATAAGTTTATTTGTGTAATTTTAAGCCTATGAGTATTTGTAAGAGAAGAAATCATGAATCAGTAGAGAACCAGCTGTTAAAGAGGAAAGACACGATTTAGCAACAACTCAAAAAAAAAATTAAACAAATAAATAGACAACGAACAACAACGACAGTTAAAGCGGGTCAGCGAAGATTTAAAATAAGAAAAGTGATCAAAGCTGGTGTAAACAAACAAAATGAAATCGTTAAAATTGATATTTGCGCTTGGTAAGCTTTCTTCGGATTTTTTTTGTATGCTTTTCTCTAAAGAATACAGTTAATTATTTATTTTTTCTTCAATAACTACTTTTTTTGTACGCAGCCATCATTGTAACAAACAACTCACCCTTTAATGATGCCTATCCCCAGCCTGCAAATAATCCTAATGCCGAGTATGAATTGATAAGCGGTGGCGCGCAGGTTGGACCGAAGCCGTCTTTTGTGCCCATCACACGAAAACCGTTAATAATTAATACACCACCACCAACGCCAGCAAACTCGAAGACTTTTGCTTTCGATCCTCTAACCAAAACGTGGACAAAAGTCAAAAAGGATGATCCCATACCATCGGAAGATACGCTTCTATGGAACCAAAGCAATGACAAATGGCTGACCGAAACAGCCAGGCGCCTATAAAATGCAGCAATCCGCAATATGAATAATTGAAAATAATTATAAAATGAGTATTTACAAGGTCATATGCAAGTTTTATTATTGACTATATGAATTAGTATTTTAATTGAACGCCGCACNATGAGTATTTAGAAGGTCATATGCAAGTTTTATTATTGACTATATGAGTTAATATTTTGATTGAACACTGCAGATGTATTTTATGGATGAAAAAAAAGCTTGTACACACTCACGATTTTTTGTGTAGGTATACTTTTGAGTATGACTGTAGCCTAATTAATGATATACAAAATTTCATTGAAAAAATAACTAATAAATATTGCACGCTCCACTAGAAAGATATTAACATTTAACACAGTTATTGCTTTTTTATAGCCTATTTATGTAATTAAATCGATTACGTATTTTCGTTAAAACCATATTAAAGCTCGTTTTTTATTAAGAATACTGAGCAGCAGTGCCATTTCATCTTAAGACACGATACCGACGCTGATCGTCAACACTGAAAGGCTGCTTTCTGTTCAAGATGAATTTTTATTCGACACATTTCCTCAGCTGTAAAGGTCAGCTTCTTGCTAGCGCTCTCTGCGAAACTGTCCAATTTGTGACCGATCTCACGCAGTTGTTCGCGCAGAGAAAGCACTTCGGCGCGCACATCTGAAATGCCATTGACCTGACTCTTCAGTTTAACGGCCACTTCACTTTCGGCCATCAATTGATCGTGCACATTGGTAGCCGAACGTGGTCGGAGTAGGCAATCGTTTTCACGCAATGGCGTCGACATTATGTGCGACGGTTCCTTCAAGTTATTACCCACTTTTTTATTATTCACATTTATATTGTTCCTTGATGCGGAAATTGGCGTCGTCGTTTTATCAGCCGTCGTCAGCCCTACTGGTATGGCCGTAAAGCGCTTCTTTTCCTCATACTGACGCTGTAAACTCTGATTGAACATGTTGTAATTGCTTTCGAGTTTGCGTCGACGTAAACTCAAGTTGCGATCACGCCGTTCAGCTACCAGTTTGTAGATATTCAACTTGATATCCTCGGGTAACTGGTTATCGCGCGGATCGTTGGGACGCGTCACGAACAACAATTTGTTGCGGGAGGTGCGCAGTAATGCACTGCGCTTGCAAAGTTGCAGCAATTTGACGGGTGCACGTCGTAGTAGGCGAGAAAAGAATAAACTTTCTAGTCGCGAAATTAATTCTGCTTGACGCACTAATCGATCCAAGGTGGCCGATACTTGTAGACCCTGAATATCGCTGACAGCCAAGCCTACCATCAGATTGGTGAGTATAACGGTGACGAGTAGTACGAAGCAGAGAAATAGAATGTGTGAGGTGACAGGAAATTTCACTGGTGCATCGCCGTAAAATATATCTTCGAACTCTAATTCACCGGACATCATAGTGATGGCTTTGAGTAGTGACCTAAGAAAAGAGATGGTGATTTTTTTTTATTCTTAGCATTATTTCCATATAGAGAGTATTACAAAATATTTACCAAGTTATATTTTCGAAAGGTGGATAGTCGTTGAACAGCACTGAGAAGCTGAGGCAAAAGGCGATTAACAAGCAGATGTAGGCCAATAAAAATTTACAAAAATTGCCAGCAACTGGAAAATAGTAGATAATGCAAAAAGACCCAGTAAGAAATCTGGTCATGAATTTTATTAAGAACAAGTGCAAAGGTGTATATGTACATAAAAACTGCTGTACTGTGAGATCATGACAATCGGTGTCGACTTGAAGTTGAACTTTTGGCTAGGAATTTGTACTGAGATTACTGCACCTTCTGACCACACTTCTCGTGTAATAATAAAACGCATACGAAGATCAACCAGGCTTGAGCGCTTCATAAAGCTCAGTCAGTTACCGGTCGATTTCTGGAGCTAATCAGCCTAATGCCAATGGATCTCTGCCCAGACGGAGGGCCCTCTTCCCAGAACAGGTCAACAGAAGCAACAATCTCTCAGAAGATACGGCACTATCAAGCTTTCCTAAGCCTAAGGTGGCCCCAAAAAGTTTACAATGTTAAGCTCACACACCCTAGGATTTTTCTAGATTTAATAAAAAAACGTTTTTTTTTATTTATGGGGGTTTTGGACCACCCTAATGTACATACATACCGAGGGCTTATATTCAATATTCTTTATTTGCAATTTTCTTTAAATCCTCATTCCGACAATTATGTACAATGAAATTACCTAAATCGTTTGTTCCAAAGTTAAAGTAAAAAAACTAACTATCTTTTTGTTATTTCTGCGTTTTGCCGCACCATCCTTACCTTTCGTAAACATCTGCACGTAAACGCCGAATATCGGAAAACGCCCCACCAACATCATTAACTCCAACCAAACCAAAAGCACAACAATGGCTGCCACATAGGCACCGCCAACAAATTACTGGGCACTAAAATTTCAGGCGTCTAAAAAGGTAAACGAAAATTAGGTAGCACTTAAAGTAGCGTTGCGCTAATGACCCACCACACAAAGCAAGACACCGAATACAATAGCCCATTGCAACCAATTTTCCCAATATTTCGCATAACCTTGTAAGCCGTGAGCCATCTGTAATTACGAGTACAATAAATACTTTAATAAGCAACTCTACGCATCATCACGCATTATCTAGTATGTAGTTACCTGAAAAATCTCTTTGCCCATTAATATTAAATTCAGTATAATAACAAAATAGCCCACTGTGCATATATATCCAGGAGCTTCACAATTCGGATTCTTATCACAATTGCGCGCATATACACCAACAATATACATTGTGAAGAGTATTACATAGATAGCGTGATAAAAGAGGCTCATCAGAAAGAATTTACGTATACGTCGCCATTTGAGAAAAAGAAAAGTTTCACACAATGGATGCATAAGTAAACGTTTCTGTCCAACTTCGATCAACGACAACAGCAATTCAGTTTCGCCGCGTTCCAATGAAGTAGGCGGCACCAAGAGACGAAAATCCAATTTGATTTCACAATCAACGTCGCCGATTTCATGGTCGTTTACTTTAATGGAATTGTCCATTTTGGCCGTAAGTTTCGGTATAATCTCTGGCGTACGTCGTACAATGAATGACAAAGCAGATACATTACCCATCGTACGTGCTGTTATATCAGCACCATGTTCTGTGAAGTACATAAGTAGGAGAGGAGAGGAAAATATTAGTTTCGTTTAAAAATAGAAATTCAAATTATTAGTTTGCTAAATTGAATGCCAGCGGAAACTAGCTCACGTAGTAGTAGAGAAGAATGAGGTCCACTATAGAGTGGGTTACTTTAGTTATAGTAGCAGTATTTGACAGGGTTTATTTTCGGCCCCTGGATATTTTTAATGCCACAGGGATAGATAAATCTATTGCATCCCCAGTTCATCGCAACACCTCAGCGAGCAGTAGAAATTTCAGAAAAGACGCCGGGAGTATTACTCTATTGGCCACACAAGCCGTCTACCCCTCTCCCTTCTGCTTTAAAGGGCCTCAAACTCCAGAAGGAGATGTAATGATGCCACCTTTGTGAAGTTCAAGAAAGGACACAGGTCGCCTGACCAGATTCCTTGCATATGTAAGTGCGTCAAAATGCTTCTTCTGATAAAAGTTTGTCACAGCTCATCCAAAAGACATACTGCTCTTGCCCTGAAATTAAATCAGAAAATGACCTTCAAGCAGAGGGCGAGGCAAGCCTTACACTCTATAGGTACGGTGACCATCCGTACTATATTTGAAAGGGCAATCCTTTTTCCTAAAAGTCTATTTTGTCCTTTATTTCAAAACGTTTCCTTTGAAAGTACTTTCCTAGATGCGAAGTCAGAAATTAAGGCATATCTTATATTATGGCCTAGTATTTAGATACAAATTGTGAAGAAATAGCTAGGATTCTTAATCCGCTGGGAATCCTTTATGAAGTGCTTCAGACTACGTTGTCGTATTTAGGACTAGGTAGGACAGTAGCAGAGAAAATGCTCGATGCTGTTTACCATCTTTTACTGCAACTGCGGTAGAAATCATTAGAGGGAGACCTTTACACCTTCGTGTATTTCCATTGAACAATGTCCGCTGAAGAAACCAAACTCTGAACTAATGGACAGACGATCAAGCAGAACTAGAGACTCAGGTATGTTTACATTAGTTTGTGGCACACCGGTGGTTGTCTTCTCTAATAAAAACAGATCTAGGACATATGTATGTCTGTAGTTCGTTTGCAGATGGTTTTCTTGATGGCATTTGGCGCAGAATTGAACGACTTCAAATAATTTTCTTAGCCCGGCAACCCAGACTACATTATTTACGCATCGCGTGGCCGCTTAGAACCATTCGTCCTTGAATTGCTACCTTCGAAGAGGTATTGTTGTACTGTAGATATTAAATCGAAGCCTTCAGAGTATACGTTGATGGAGTATTCTACTAAAGGACAGCAGCAGCTTAGTACTAGTTATTCTGAATGGTTGTTGTTGCCGACTTTATTATTTAGCTCAGAATCATCGCTGAAAATTTAAATGGATCTAGTGTCTAGCTTTTTTCACTTCACCATTCGCTCATAACGCAGATTCTTGTCGAAAAACTTGTTATCAAAGTAGGTAGGTAAAATGCTTGTTTGCCTAGTGTCATTTACGCAAGACTGGGGTATGTGGTAAGAAGGACCGAGAGAGCGTTAGGAGCTTTGTAGTGGTTAGAGTGAACGGCCACCGTGATAAGCACTCTTTTTATTTGGCATTTAGACGTATTTTTGGTCAGCATTCTTCACCATACTGTAACTCCGAAGTCAAGAATGCGCCTTACGTCAACTGTGACAGCTGGTGCATTTTTTGTAATAAAAGTAAAGCTCGTAAAATATGAAAATATTTATAATGAATACTCTCATACTCTCTCTTGTTTTTGCTACAACGGCAAGCTTAACTAACGATAAGCCCAGGAAAGTTGTTATATAGACATGGTCGAGCCAACGAGGACTAGGTTTTAGTTGAGGGAGAGTTGTTGCCTCTAACAAATGACTGGTCGGGTGCATCCGTCGCACCGTGGAAATTTTACGACAGGTTTTGTTAAAAAAATGCCGAGAAGTCAAATTTTGGCCAATCCGTATATGTATATTTTTGTTTGGAAATACTTGGAACGGATTTTAGAAGTCTTTCTGAGCCCGAGTANTGGAAATTTTACGACAGGTTTTGTTAAAAAAATGCCGAGAAGTCAAATTTAGGCCAATCCGTATATGTATATTTTTGTTTGGAAATACTTGGAACGGATTTTAGAAGTCTTTCTGAGCCCGAGTAAAAAAAATCAGCATATGGTGAAAAGTCGGATTTGTTTTTTAAAACCAATTCAATTCGATAAAAAATTTAGTCTTTCAGCCATTTTTGAACAAAGTTCGTCGAAATTTTCCAACTGCGCGTCGGTAAGAGCGGGAAAACCGGTATTCGGAATGTATTGACCCTTTTACATAGATAGAAAAATCCCGATCTTAACCACGACACAAAGAGCGTCGGAATGGGTTTCCAGAAAGTTCGACAGCTTACGGAAGGTTTTAAGACCGGGTAGAAGTCTTACGAGAACAAGAACGAAGCAATAGGGACTGATTTCCAGATCTGGCCACACCAATCGATGATGGCCATTGTGAAATACGAAAAGAACAGTGCGGCTCAATATAACAAAGCAACCGAAGACAAAGGTCTGCCACTTGTAAAATAATATCGGGAGAAAANAAAAAAAATCAGCATATGGTGAAAAGTCGGATTTGTTTTTTAAAACCAATTCAATTCGATAAAAAATTTAGTCTTTCAGCCATTTTTGAACAAAGTTCGTCGAAATTTTCCAACTGCGCGTCGGTAAGAGCGGGAAAACTGAAATCCGGAATGTATTGACTCTTTTACATAGATAGAAAAATCCAAATCTTAACCACGGCAGAAAGAGCGTCGGAATGGGTTTCCAGAAAGTTCGACAGCTTACGGAAGATTTTAAGACCGGGTCGAATTCTACGAGAACAAGAACGAAGAAATAGGGACTGATTTCCAGATCTGGCCACACCAATAGATGATGGCCATTGTGAAATTCGAAAAGAACAGTGCGGCTCAATATAACAAAGCAACCGAAGACGAAGGTCTGCCACTTGGAAAAGAATATCGGGAGAAAAACCGGCACATACTAACTATTTGTCGATTTCAAAGACGCTTTCGAAAGCACGTTGGTGCGATGTAGTAGAGGACTTCGAAAACTTGTGAACCAGCATTAACGCTAATGAAATCTATATCAACAAGTGCTACTTTGGACTGAGTATGCAATGAGGATATGAAGTCCCCTCTCATCGTACGAATACAAGGCGATGAAGCTTGTACAATGTCAACATCCGATGAGGCGGCCCTTGGAGTATTCGAGAGAAAGATTCTGTGGAAGATTTACAGGCCTCGGTGCGTTAGCGACGACGGCATTGTGTAGCGCTGGTTAGGACTTATCGTACGAATGGAAGGAAGAGGTTGCCCTCCTCTGTGTTGGAAAGACCATATGAAGAAGGACTGGACTTTACTTGGTGTTTCTAATTAGCGCCTGTTAGCAAGAAGATTAACCGACTGGCGTGCATTGTTGGACCCGGCCAAAATCGCTAAAACGGTTACACAGTCAAATAGAAAGAAAACGATCTAAGCTCCAAAGGAAGGTAAAAATGTGGGAAAATTAGCACCTTTACCAGCTCTGACCACACCTCCGATACCTCGAGTGGTTCTAGGACCCACCATTCCCTAGGCAAAACCGTGAAATAATTTCCTTTTCATCATATTCTTCACTCGACGCTTCATGACCCGAACTTACGCCTTCGAACTCAGCTTCCGCAATAATACGATTTTGAAGTGTGCGACGATTCTTATTAGCGAATTCCCAGAGGAAAACCAGNATGTAGTAGAGGACTTCGAAAACTTGTGAACCAGCATTAACGCTAATGAAGTCCCCTCTCATCGTACGAATACAAGGCGCTGAAGCATGTCAACATCCGATGAGGCGGCCCTTGGAGTATTCGAGAGAAAGATTTCGTGGAGGATTTACAGGCCTCGGTGCGTTAGCAACGACGGCATTGTGTAGCGCTGGTTAGGACTTATCGTACGAATGGAAGAAAGAGGTAGCCCTCCTCTGTGTTGGAAAGACCATATGAAGAAGGACTGGGCTTTACTTGGTGTTTCTAATTAGCGCCTGTTAGCAAGAAGATTAACCGACTGGCGTGCAAAAATCGCTAAAACGGTTACTCAAATAGAAAGAAAACGATCTAAGCTCCAAAGAAAGGTAAAAATGTGGGAAAATTAGCACCTTTACCAGGTTGCTCTGACCACACCTCCGATACTTCGAGTGGTTCTAGGACCCACCATTCCCTAGGCAAAACCATGCGATAATTTGTAAGTTATGATAGGATGGAATGGGTTATAATGCTCTACCAACCCTGCACATCTCCGGGACTTGTTGCAACATTCGTGAGTTTCATCACTCGTGGTTTCTCCTTGCTTATCTTCCTTTTCATCATATTCTTTACTCGACGCTTCATGGACCGAACTTACGCTTTCGAACTCAGCTTCCGCAATAATGCGATTTCGAAGTGTGCGACGATTCTTATTAGCGAATTCCCAGAATTTTTATATGTGCGCGCATACCAACAACCGATTACGGCTAAAGTTTAATTATTTGCCACCTCACTGATCATGCGAAACTTACCAATAAAAGTGTACACGCAATTGCTGAACTCATTCAAGGCCGCGATATGTAGCGGTGTATAGCCAAAATTATCTGCTTTGTTGACATTGGCACCTGCCTTCAACAAGGCATTGCAACAGTCCAAACTTCGAGATTGCTTAACGATCGCAGCATGTAGAGCTGTGCGGCCATCCCTATAGACTGCATTCACATTGGCGCCATGTTTGATCAGCATGTCAACCGTTTCGATGGATTGTGATAGGCAGGCCAAGTGCAATGGGGTCTGATGGCTGGCATTACGGCAATCGACGTCAGCGCCATGTTCCAACAGCAAACGTACACATTCAACGTAATCATTCTCAGCGGCTGCAGGCGATGGATGAGGGAAAGCAACAGTTACGCGGGAAAGAAACTCGTATCATTGTTTGCTCGGATNTTTTTATATGTGCGCGCATACCAACAACCGATTACGGCTAAAGTTTAATTATTTGCCACCTCACTGATCATGCGAAACTTACCAATAAAAGTGTACACGCAATTGCTGAACTCATTCAAGGCCGCGATATGTAGCGGTGTATAGCCAAAATTATCTGCTTTGTTGACATTGGCACCCGCCTTCAACAAGGCATTGCAACAGTCCAAACTTCGAGATTGCTTAACGATCGCAGCATGTAGAGCTGTGCGGCCATCCCTGTAGATTGCATTCACATTGGCGCCATGTTTGATCAGCATGTCAACCGTTTCGATGGATTGTGATAGGCAGGCCAAGTGCAATGGGGTCTGATGGCTGGCATTACGGCAATCGACGTCAGCGCCATGTTCCAACAGCAAACGTACACATTCAACGTAATCATTCTCAGCGGCTGCAGGCGATGGATGAGGGAAAGCAACAGTTACGCGGGAAAGAAACTCGTATCATTGTTTGCTCGGATTTGTTTTGTTTTGTTTGTGTGAATTGACAGTGAAAATTTGCAGCTGCTAAACAGTGAACACAAAACATACCCAAGTGCAAGGCTGTCAATTTCCCTTCGCCGAATTGTGAGCGCACATCCGCGCCATGATTCAATAGCAATTCCACACATTTGCTGAAGCCCAGTGCGCAAGCTGTATGCAGCGGCGTTTCCGTGTAGACCTGAGATATGAAAAAATACATACATACATACGTGTTTCATTAGTAGCGAGCGCATAACTGGGAAAATTAGTGTTATGTTAATGTCGCACTATTTACCTGTGGCGTATTGGGATCCGCGCCATATTTAAGCAATATCTCCACACACTCAACCGCATNTAGGGTTAGAATATTTATTTTAGAGGCCCTTTTAATGCAGAATTTTTGTTTGAAATTTTACAAAACATTCAAACCTTGAAAACAATTTGTTTTGACCATTGCAAATATGCCATGCGAATTGGGGACCAGACTAAGTGTCTCCTCGATTTCGTGCTGATCCCAGATCATTTGATGTTGTTGTTGCCACAAGAATATCTCATGCGCCTCATCGCTAAAGACCGCATCACTATTGTTGCTACTCTCGCTGGAGATGCTACGCTTGTCGAAGAAGAGATCGTGTGTTTCATGGCTCTCCGAATTCCATTTGAGATCGTTCTCCTATGAATGTGTGAAGTGTATTTGAGTAATGAAAATTGTATGCTATTCGAAAGCAAATAGTTTTGGTAGGCACTAGATATTCGTAAAAGGATTCAATGGGAAAGCAATTGAAATCTTACAATAATGGAAAAGCGAACATTCTCCATGGTCAGTGGTGCTGAAACACGATCAATATATGTGATAAGTTTCTGTTGCAAGGCACTACACTTTCGCTGGAATTCGCTGTTGACGATTGAGTGGACCATGCGCGCGAATTGTAGCGAAAAAAAAACACTTAAAAGGATCTGTCAATTTTTATAATTTTTTATTAAATTTGCAAAAATTCACGTAGAAGCGCTCGATCACAATTGGCATGAACCAACATGGTATGGTTGGTATGGACCAACATATGTACATACACACACTTTTTTTGGTAACGAACATATGTTCCTGTTTAAATATTTACTGATCAATTCAGCTTTGATTTATGCAGATCGTTACATATGTACAAACAAATACACATATGTGTAGATGTATATCAAAATGTATGACCAAAACAAATATGCATGCATATGCCTATATAAACAAAGGATTTTCAAATGTTTGCACAATTATTTTTAATATTTTTATCAATAATTGGGTGCTGAATTAGTTCTCTTATATTCGCAATATAAACAATACAAATATGTTTGCGCTATATATGTATGACGTTTTCTCTGATCTTATTATTCCAGCCCGACACTTATTCAACCAATTTCCCGAATTTAGCGCAACCGTTCGCACCAAAGTGCTAAGAAAAACTGAGTGTTTACGCTTTTGGCCACATTTTCGAACGCCGATCTTGCATAGCCACTCAGAAACCACTTACAAATTTATACATTTGAATACTTATGTATGTGAGTACTTCTATGCACATTGTACATACTTATTACACCCGCAATGCGTTCGTGCCTTTTACTCTGACATAAATTTGGTCCAGAGAATGGCTGGAACAATAAACAATATTAGTGGGCCATTTCAAGAGAGCTACACATTTTTGGTTGGGCTGCTTATATTGCTTAGCGTCCAATTTCCTAACATCCATTATATATGTACATGTGTAGGATCGCTTGTGATAACTGAGAAATTTTCAATAAGCACTGGTCAATTTTGAACACATTTAGCCCATTTAGTTTCTCGCTAAGTGAAACCAAATCCTTCTCTTCATGGTGTTTCCATCTGCAATCTGCACCGTTATAATAAAAATCATAATTTGACCATTAAAATTGAATTTATATTTTCCTCATAAAATTTCATCGCCATATTTGGATTTTTATTTTTTTGATCATCTCATAACTGTTATTTTCAAATTTAATTTTTTGAATCATAAAGGATTTATAAAGGCTCATAAAATGTAGTCTTCATTATAACGGTTAAAAATTGAAAAATAACGATTATTTTTTTTTTATCGAGAAAAAGTAAGCAGGCGCCTCACTGTAGAAGTGAAACTTACGTTACAGATCCATTTTATCCCATAACCAATATACATACATATGTACATAGATACTTGCATCTGCCTTTGCTTAAGTTTATATTTTTTGCCTTTTTTTTATTTAGATCCACCCCTGTTCGTTGTAACTACATTTATGTTATTCTGTTTTCCTTTATCTACATTTGTAGCTTTATACTCTATCAATAACAAAATCGATAGTAACATCCAACAAAACCGATAAAAAAAATTCGAAAACAAAATCGACGACAAATTCGATAGAAAAATCGATTAAAAATATCGATAACAAAATCGATAAAAATGTCGATAACAAAATCGAAAACAATATCGATAACAAAATCGGTAAATAATCGATAGTAAAACCTATAACCAAAATCGATTAGAAAATCGATAAAATATTGGTAAAAATATTTATTAAAAAAAATTTATAAAAAATATCGATAGCAATATCGATAACAAAATCGAAAGCAATATCGATAACAAAATCGATAAATATACGATAGAAAAATCGATACATAATCGTTAGAAAAACCGACAAATAATCGATAACAAAAGCAATAAAAATGTCGATAACAAAATCGATAACAATATCGATAACAAAAATCGTTTAGAAAAACGTTAAAAACATCGATAAAAATATCGATTATTATATCGACAAGTCTCGAGAATCCCGAAAGTCTCTAAAATCCCAAAATAGTTCCCAGATTGAGTCTGTGTCTCTATATATGTATCTACATCCTTTTCCCCATAATTACCTGTATTTTAATCTTCCTCTATCTTCATCTCTACTTTTATCGGTATCCCCATCATCTTTTTCTTTATATTTATCTTTGTTTTTACTTTTATGTTTATAATTTTCTTCATCTACATACATATTCCTTTGCCCTTATATAAATAAGTAGTGTTTAAATTTACCTTGTTCTTCATTTTTGCCTTTATCTTTACGCATCTTTGATTTTGTTTTTATTTTTTCCTTTGCCTTTATCCCTTTCTTTATCTATGTTCGTACTCACCTTTACTTTCATTCTTGTATTGTTCTTTTTCAAAGTGTTATTCGTTATCCTTTTATTTGCAAGTTTTTGTTAAATTAATAACATACATTCAAGAAGCACATGTTTCCGTCCCACCCATTTCCGTTGCACTATTTCCATTGCACCATTTCTGTGTGCAATTTCCGTTGAATTTGCCAATTTACTCCCAACCAACCAACCGCCGCTAAAGCAGTTTCCGAAAAATTTAAATCTAACGATTATCAGAAAATAACGATTTTGCAATGATCTAAAACTATAAAAATCATGGTATTTACATAAGGGTTATTTTCGGTCTTTGGCTATAACCAGCTGGTAGCCATTAAATATTCCACTTTCAGGGCCTTCCCTGCATTATGTTTATAGCCACGGTTACCATTTTGATCGAATTGTAACCCTTTTTGCAGTTTTTTACACTGGTGCATAACTTTTAAATTTGGTACATTTTTGAAATCTGGTAAAATGAGATATTTATTACCTGTGCTTCCATCATATGTATATCTAGTTAATGGTCAAGCCTACATACATATGTGTAAAAGCTTCAATGCATTGTCTAGTTTAGGTTAGGCTCCATACATTGACGGTTGTGAGTGCCCTATTCAAGCGAGTGTCAGGCGGAGACATGTACCCATAACCGAGAGAGTAGTCAAGTACTTACAAGTCATTATTCTACTGAATCAATTACTATCCCTAATGAAGCCAAGGAGGTCCAAAAGTTCCATCTCCGCTTTCTCGCACAGACTGTCGAAGAAGCGTGAAGCCAAGTGTTTGAGGAGCTTCGACTGTTGACCCGGACATCGACACAGAAAGGGGTCAATTCACTCTTCCTCATCTTCATCACGTCAGCTTCTGCAGATAGTACTTATTGGTATTCGCCATCAATGAAGCATTGGTGCTATAGTATTTAGAGTGTCCTGTGGTGACACCGCTAAAGACTCTTAGGTTCTTGAGTTTCAGTACGTCCCTCGTCTTTTTCCTACAAAGTCGCGTCCATAATATCCTTGTGGTCTCACAGTCTTCCCGTTTGTTTCACAAGCCATTAGTTGCGACCACGGTGTGCTTACTAAACGGTAGTAGTACGGAGCTATCCGCTTCTTCTCATCAGCCGACTCATACCCTTCCGGGGACCTAGTGTAGATTGACGTTAATATGGGTCAGTGATGCCAGCGTAGTAAGTAAAACACTAGATGCCCTATTTATAGAGTAGATCTCTGTTTGGTAGACACTGCAATCGTTCGGTAGATGAAAGGACCGGTTGATCTGCATGTCCAAGTACAGAAGGGCACCGGTTGCTTGTTCCATCTTTACCCTCCCTCTGATATTGGCAGTCCTGCATCGAATTCTTCTCTGGTCGGGAACCTAATAGGTATTTTAGTATTGAAGTCCCAAAAAATGCGTAATGTAATAAGTGCGGGCCTCTATGCCAGCTTTAATTCCATTGAGCCGGCCCCATTTTATTTCAATCAGTGTTGCCGCATGCCAAAAATTGTTTGCCTCTCTGAGCCTGAGGGCACTCTGTGCAGAAATGCATATAGATGCTCTGGGAATGTTTCAGCGTCAAAAAGAGATTTTGAAAAAAATTTCGCTAACCTACATACATCTTTTCAACGGTTAGGGCTCGATATTTACATACATACATACTTACATACATATGTATGTACATACATTCTTTGTATGTTGTACATTTATGTAGTAAGTCCACATTGTTGTTCTAGGAGTATGTCCTAGCTCTAACAAAATCGTGCTGCCGCATAAAAAAATAGTAGAAAATATGTCGTTAACTATAAGCAGAGTGCCAACTAAAATTCAGTGGGATATTTTAAGTACAAATGCGTTAGCTATCATTTCAGCTGTTTGCTGTAAAAAAATTGCATGAAATAGGTAATTAACAAGGAGTCCAAATATGGTTTCATTTATGGAAACTCTAAAAATTATCAAAATCTTCGTTGCATGCAAATATATACGGTGTTACACATATATACGTACATACAAGGATATATGTAAATGCATGAGATACAGTTTTTCCATGATATAATCCCATTCTATATGACCTCAATTGTGTAAATTTTTTTTATTTTCATATAAATTTTTAAATTTAGTTAAAATACCGATAAATTTACACACAAATTTACAAAGAATTTAAAAATTTTTGCTTATAGAATATGTATGTATTCATTATTTTTTTATAGAAAATATTAAACTGTTCATCTGGTAACACTTTCACTTTTTCGTTCTTTATTCCGAATTTTAGGAAACGTCCAGAAAGCTACAAAAGAGCAACGAACTGCCGTTGCGAATTAACGAACTGAATACATTTTCGGGTGCAATTTTTACCAGCAAAATTCTTATACTTCTACTAATGTATTTACAAAAACACTATAACAATGCATTTTCCCTCCACAACTGGAATACACAAAGACAGTCTCCGCGCCAAGAAACAGCTGCCTTTTAAAAAGAAACCGCCCTGAATAGGTACTACTTTTTCTGCCTGAGCGGAGGAATATTCCTACTCGCTGTTCTGCCAAAGTATAAATAGAAGGCTGCAAACATGGAAATTTCACGGTTGTTGGCGAATAGACGTGCATAGTTTCTCATTATCTCGTTAATTGTTCTCCGCGCCGGACGTCCAGTAAGTGTTGTTGTTGGTCGGAATATTATTATAGTTCATCGTGTAAGTTGCTAGTGTGGAACATTTAAAAAAGTAACACTGAAGAAGTGACGTTTACTGTTTCTGTTGATTATCGTCTTCGCATTTCGCATGAAATGAAACATGAGTGTTGATGAGGAGTTCAGTGCCGTATACGGACAATATTTCCATGAAAAGGATGATGAAAACGATGATGAAAACTATGAAGAGAGCGATGATGATGAAGACGAAGTATGTGTATCTCAGGCAGAAGATGATACCGAACAAACTTTTGTTAAGATGGACCTGTATGTTGTTGATGTAAAGGAGGAGGAGCTGGTAACAAAATTTCTGTCAAAAGATTGTTGTAATAATGAATGCCATACACTGATACCACGGGAATTGATCGAGAGTACGCGGAACAATTGTCGAAACAAG